TTCTTTCATTTCCCAGATTCTGGACTTTATCTATTGACCAGTTTTGATTTTTATTTTGATCTATTTTGAATTGCGTGACACTGAAAACCAGCAATTCTACCAAGGATTCTTGCACTATGGTTGTTCCTATATCGCAAGTGGAGGACTGGTCATTCAAAAATTCGACCATACCAGAGGTCCCAACGAAATGTATCCAGAATACTAGTGTACCCCTGCAAAGAGGTTGCCATAGCGACGGTGACTGCCATTTAAGACCCACGTGATGTTCCTGTCGAGGGGAATCGCGCGTTCGCTACAAGGCTGTGGAACAAGATAAAGGTTTCTCCAAGAAAACTGAATACGCAAACACCGAGGCGAATTGCATGGAGGTGGAAAGGTTGCGATTGGAAAGTCCGAGGAATTTACCGTGCTTGTTATAACAAAAATCGTGATTCGTGTGAAACTGTATGGTCTTTGCCCAGCAGGGGTTCCGCCGTACAAGAACTGAGCACTTTACCATGCCGGAGCTCGCCGCTGGGCAAAACATTTAGGTTAAATTGAACAGGAAGTTATCTTCCGCTTTTAGTTGGAAATATCTTAGGCCATTATTTAGCTAAAAAAATTAATTTTAGCACCGGCCATGTTTAACTGAATAGACACCTGTGAAAGTATGTATTTTGTAGGTATTTCAGTATGAAATATAGAATTAAAGTATCCAACGATACGAAGGTCGTTGTTGAAAAAAACGAAGGTCGTTGTTTCGACGTACGTCAAAGTTAAGTAATTTAACCTTGGTTATGCAACTGTTGTATGCGGTGTTTTTCAAATTTTCAAATTTTTAGGTTCCTTCAGTTTAAAAGTAGTTTTATACATCGGAAGAATGACTTCATTCGTGGTGACAGAACCCCTTTAAGATATCATCTAACGTATCATCTAGCGCAAGGTAAAAATTTATGGGCGTAAAACCATTTTGAAGTGAATGAATTTCTGTATTTAGACAAGTATATTCGGAAGTGCATTCAGAACCATTATTACACTGCTTGACATATATTAAACTTGACGCGTATTTTACGTTAATGTATTTTACATTGCACTTTGTCTCGTACCGATAAGAAACGTGCGAGTCGTTTTGTATGAGTTCCCCAAATCCCAATTGTATCCCCCAAAAAAACAAAGAAAAAAAAAGACTTGTCTCGTCCATCTAAAGAAACTGAATCTAAGATATGTTTTTTTTTCCTTTGTTGGCCTCGCAAGATTTGTTTGTTTTTGTTTTTCACGAATTTAATTTAGGAAGCCTTATCTCGCTGGTCTTTATATCTTCGTGACTTCAGAAAAATAAGCTAAACTCTGTCTCCATTTTAATAGCTTTTAGTGTCGAGAAACGCTAAATTTTAGAATTTGCGAATTAAATTACGAGTAAGCCAAAGTTAGCAACAAAAAGGAAAAAAACAAGGGTAGGTATCTGATATTAATTATTAAAAACTGCCAATCAAGTTCCTTTCAAAACATCTTTTTCATTAGGAGAATACATCGTTCATTCGGATTTACTTACTTGTGTTATAAAGAAACATCCAATCATTGATGTTTATGAATAACTTGAATCTTGGAAACAATGAAAATGTATCTGAATTCTTCACGGGGATTTCCGAATATCTAATTTGTGAGAAATCAGTTGCGGGGAACACTTCGACATGAAATAAGACATAGCATTACCGTCAAAAAATGTGTTAAATTTCACAATTTATAAGTCGGCTTTATCACTTACAAACTGAAAGTGTTATCGATTCACGGACATTTTTCGGGCAGTAACGAGGATTTCTTAAAAATTATTCGTTGAATTCGACTTGTTGTGGGGCCAAACAACACGGCGGCAAGTGGAATTGATGATATGGAAAATTCAGGAAGATCAAAAACTGCATTGTTAATTGGCATAGCCAATTTACTCGTTGGCATCATAGCGGTGGTAGGCAATTTCCTTCTGTGTGTGACAATTTACAAAGACCCTTATCGACGTTTGAGAAACACAGCCAGTTATTTGGTGGTGAATCTGGCAGTTGCTGACCTTCTAACCGGTCTGATAACAGAGCCTTTGTACGCAGCCTTCGAAATAAGCAACTTCATGGGAACAGAGTTACGAATTTTGTACGTTGTCGGAGAAACAACCGCGTACGTGTTCGTAAACACTTCCATTTTGTCCATCCTTTCCTTAGCTTTGGATAGGTTCATTGCCGTGAAATATCCCTTGTCGCATGGGCAAAAAATGGACCGCCACCGAATCGTTACCATTATAGTCTTGTCGTGGACTTACTCGCTGCTATTCAGCATGCTTCGCTTCATGGGTGTCACGCAAGATATCTTTTACTGGTTTGATTTGCACATTAACTATACCTTGTTTGGAGGAATTCTAATCGGGCTGTACGTGTCCATTTATTGCACGATCAAATATCAGCTCGCACAATCATTACGCACACAAGGGTACAACAGCGAGACAAGGAGACAACCAGTTCATAACGAGATCGAAGCTAAGATGAAGGCAGAGCGGAAAATGACAAAAACCGTGTTCTTTCTCGTGTTAGCGGCCATTATTTGTATGCTGCCGTTGTATATCATGCTTCATGTCGAACTGCTATGTGAGTCCTGCATGGAAAAACCGGCGATAAAAACCATTAGCAAGCTCTCAGAACCTATCCTGTTTTTAAACTCAGGACTTAACCCTTTTCTTTACGCATGGACAATTCCAAAGTACCGCCAAGCATTGCAAAAAACGCTTCGTACTTGGTGTCTGTGCCCAAGAAAAAGAAATAATCACAGAAAAACGACCTCAGGCCCGTTCAGGTCTGCATTTGCTATTCAAAATCAAGGAATGGTTGACGGAATAAAATCGCCTTCAAATTCGAAGGACTCGAACCCGATTCAGTTGATGGAGATAAATATCAGGGAGAATAACAGTTTATAACATCTTAGGGTAATACTGAACAGAGAATATCTTCTATCTTATAAGCCAAACCGTGCGAACTTGTACTCTCATCACTGACAAACGGTAACCAAAGTAGTTCAGCTCCTATCATATTAAGTGCTATATTTGTGAAACTCAGTACCTGCTGATAGTTTCACTACATAGAGAATGAATGATAATCCAAGACGTTCATTGTATCGAAATTCAGACAACAATTGACAAAACTAAGAGTTATATTTCAGTAAGATCTGTACCATCATCAGACTAGAATTTGCATACAAGGTAACTCTTAAATACGGTGTTAATAACAATGAAGAAAAGAGACAAAAAGCAATACTCATTAGAAAAAGCAAAGTCCTCTCGTGGATTTAAGTCCTTTGCCAAGAGAACGTGTCAGGCGTTTGATGTAATACGCCTCTTTGTATAGGAGAGGATTACAATTGCTGCCGTGGTCTAATGCTGTGAAGTTGTTTCTGACTAACTGTGTGAAGTATTCTTTATTACAAGAATCAGGTGGAAAGTTGTTAGAATTCAAGGTATCCGGTAGATTACACAAATTACGTATGAAAGTTTAAAAATGCTCACAAGTGCGCAAATATTTGTACATTGCACTCTCTTTTTCAGAGATAGCGTGTTAATATGTTCGGACGAAGAGAGTATCTGTTTTGCCAGTATACGCTGATTGACAACCGGGGCAGCTGAATTTGTACCTTACATGTGATTAACTCAATGATGGTACTTTATCTTTGTGGTTGGTATAGAAACACAGTTTAGTTGTTTTCTCGTATACTTTTACTTCGATTTTGGATCATGTTGGAGTCGTGAAACATCTACGGAGCTGTCTCGCAAACTCCAAAATCGCATTTAACGTTCATACGTAATTTGTGTAATCTACCGTATAACTTGAATTCTGACAACTTTCCACCTAATTCTTGTAATAAAGAATACTTCACACAATTAGTCAGAAACACCACCACAGTATTAGATTGCGGAAGCAATTGTAATCCTCTCCTATACAAAGAGGATATTACATCAGACGCCCAACACCTTCCCTCAACAAATTACACAACTCAAGCAAAGAACTTTGCCTTTTCTCATGAGTATTACGTTTTGTTTGGTTTTTTCATTGTTATTAACACCGTATTTAAGTAGTTACCTTGTATGCACATTCTAGTCTGATGATGGTATAGTTCTTACCGAAATATAGCTTCTAGTTTTGTCAATTGTTGTCTGAATGTCGACACAATGAACATTCTCGGATTATCATTCATTCTCTGATGGTATATTTGTGCACACTGAATCTGATGAAGCCACAAAGCTGTATAATAACAACAATAATAATAAAGGTCTTTGTTCATAGTATGTGTCGTATATGCGTACAGGACTTCAACATGACATACTATTTTAATGTCAATTGAGCGTTGAAATGTAGAAAATGACTAGTCTGGTTGCTAAGTAGACTTCCTGGGGCTGCATACTCTCTCAACTGAAGTACTTTATTACGATCACTACTGACATCAAATTTTGTGTGAACCTGCCTCCCTTTTTAGATAAATTATTACATTTGTCTTTGCTGATCTTCAACGCTTAATTAAATTGAATACTAACTGAAAAACCGCAAAAATGGTTTTAATTGAATGGCTAAAGTAAGAACGAAAACAAATCAACTGACAACCAAATAACCACTTTATTACATATTTTTTCGGAGGGCTTTTATTAGTATTCGGCTTAAGGCATCCCAGCGGAAAACATTATCTTATTAGCATAGCCAAGCGCCAAAAAGAATCGGGATGTCGCCATTCTGATTTCCTACGGAAATACTGTCTAATTATGAGCTAGACTATGACTTCAAAATTTCCTTATTTTAAGTATTTATACCTGAAGCTACGATATTCACTCGTTGCATTGCTATTTTCTCATTATCTCTTACGTGGTGCTGGTCAGTGTAAAAACGGTTTAAAGTGAAGTTGAAATAATTTTTGGACGACTTTTAAGTTTGTATGAAGGAGAAGATAGGAACGAGAGGTTTTTTTAATGGATTTAAAGTAAACGGTGATCTAAGGCTGATTAAAATTATATTTCCCGAACGTGAAGTGCTCTTTAACTCTCCGTTAAGCCTAAAAGAAACAAATAGCGAAAAGTAGAACTGTCAGTTATTATCACTTACATAAGTTACCCATTTTCTACATCATAAAATCTAAGTGAAAATTCGAACGATTTGTTAGCAGTTTTTTTCCACAAAAAAGAATGGCAAATTACTTTTTTTCCCAGAAAATGGGAGGGAAAGTAACTTCTTAAGTCAGTAAGCGGCTTTGACAGAAGCAGGACCCAATTGAAGGATGATAACTTAAGTATTTTGCATTTCACATAATTGAGATGTTCCGGTTCTTTGTGAGATGATAACCTCTTGATTCACGGTATTTTGTTTCATTACAACAGCTCTCAATGAGTTTCTGAACATTTTATGTCTCCATGCATATATAAATGGGTTCACTGCGCAGTTGAGGTATACTACAGGCTCAGAAATTTTGCTCATGGCTGTGAGGACAATGTTCGTCTGGCACGTGGCACAGAATAAATAAACGTGCATGTAGATGTAATATGGCAACAGACAAAGATAGCACGCTGCTAGAATGATCAAGAACGTTCGTATTATCTTCGCATCGCCGATCATCTGTTTTCTTTGCTCGTCAAATCGAGAGGTTGAATCAGCCAAGTCCACTCTTTGATTCCTGGCAACGACAGATCGTCGATAAATAAGTACAAGGAAAACAGTCAAGGTTACCAGGCTTCCTGTGACGTGGATGTGCAGATCCAGTAGATAATAAGTGTTCTCAGGTACACCAATATTACGCAAGAAACTGAACAATACAGAATACACCCATAATACCGCAATGGTGCCTCCCGCGACTCGCCTCGTCATGACGTTGCGGTAACGAATGGGTGTATTCAATGCCAAGAATCGGTCGACGACAAGCACTACAACGGTACAAAGAGAGAGATTAACAGTGATGTAAGAGGCATGATCGCCGGCCGTTAGAGCGGTCTGATAGTCCCTGGCTTGGTAATAGCCAAAGTTGTAGGCTATGTACAGGGGATCCACAATGAATCCAGTCAGGAAATCTGCTACGGCCAAATTAGCTACGAAGAGCATGGGAGATGAACGAAAGCATTTGAGTGGGTCTTTGTACATGGCCACACACAGGATGCCGTTTCCAACAACAGTGATGACTGAGATGATAAGAAGAGAAATGGCGGAGAGAAGCGACAAAGTGGCTTCACTCTCGTGTTGGGAAGGCACGTGCGTGTCATTCTCGATGGTACTGCTCATTTTCGTAGCAGCCGGCTTTTTGTAAACTGAAAAATGGGAAGAGAAAGAATGGTTAGATCCGATGAGGCTTCTACCGTGATGATGATATATAAATGACCATACAATGGAATTATACAAAATCAATGCTGTAAACAAGCAATCAAATATATAATATCAGTATAAAAACAACGGAAGATGAGACTACTGCATAAAGTGTGAGATACAACGTAAAGTGAATTAGTTACTTAATTGTGCGACTTTTCGTCATCTGATAGTTTAAGTAAAATGACATTTTTACTTGGACAAGCGGCATTCTCTACCATTTTTGTGTTTTGATTTTGGGCTTTTATCTTTATACTAAAAACAATTTTGTGTATCCTGCAAAAAAATCTTTAATTTACCTCGGTTTTGCAAGTTTGTAATCTGATACGGAATGAATCTGGTCCAGAAACTGATTTCGATGACAACTTGATCAATATGAAGATTTGTTCACTTCCACTTTCTCCCTTATCGCTCGCTCCCACAATCTACGCTGAAACACTTAGTTGTTTCAGATGTTTCCAAGCACATACGTTTGATATGCAAATCATTTCAGTTTTCAATTTGTGGACTGCCAATCAACAACGAGTATTATCGAAAGAAAGATGATTCATAATCCACTTGTCAAATGATTTCTACTCTTAATGCCGATATTTTACACTGAAGTATTTCCGATGATTCCAGTATCACGTACTGTTCTGCGTATTCACAGCACAGAAGAAGTCTTTATACGTGATTCCATAACCCGATAAGTGTTCCGTATCTAACTTGTATCTCGGTAACCGAGCACTACTTGCTTTGTTTCTTGTCACGGATATTTGGACTTCAGAAATCTAGTACTCAAAATTATCTGTCCATAATGATAAAAAATACTCTTATAGTAATACAAATAATCGTCAGGATAATCACATCGCGAAATTGTATGAAAAGGAATCAGATAGGTGTGTACTATCCGGCCATGCCTATTCTTACAGGAAAAGCCTTAAATCCAGAATACTATCCTTTATTTTACTGTTAATCAGTCTTGAACACTTGGAAGTGTTTCACAGCCTGTCCAGCAGCACGTTTCCATAAAGCGTAAATGTGCATTTAGAGGAAAAGGATCAGATACGTGATTTATTTTTATCTCGATCGAAACGTGATCTGTTTTTTAACTGACGCGTGTCTAATTCATTAAGACTTGATTTATACGCGTCGCGGATGTTTGGACTTAAAGATAAATAATCAGAAATGTTTATTTTTAAAGATGCGAAGTATGCGAAGTCGTCAATAAATTTGAATCGTAAAATTGTACATGACTGTATACTTAATTAAAATAGTCTGACCCACACTGGCATAAATAGGGACGACCGAAAATGCACTTTTGTCCAAATTAAGCGGGTGTCCGATTCCAAAATGAGCCTCTACTGCATTTAATGACTAGACCAATGTAGCCGGTTGCATCATCGTTCCCAGATGATAAGACATTACAGCCGTAATTCTCAACCAAACGCAACACGATTAACAAGTTTTCTTTTGTTTCCTTTAGGTTAGAGTTAAGCGTTTAAGATGTTTCTCAGTTAAGTTATCGCCGCGTGGGAATGACTTTTCAAAGGAAACAAATGTCGTAAAACTATTTCAAGACCAGCTCCTTTCGAAATACAACGGAGAAATATAGAATATTTCGTTTCGTTTCTCTTTTTTTTGTTTAGCTGCGTTCTTGAGTTAAGTAAATAAGCAAATTGTAAATATTAAAACTGAAGCTCCCACATTGTCATGTAGAGAAGTTGGCCCGCTAATGTGCTTTTGCACGAACGTATTTAGCTATATTTACCGCTATCCTCAAGCTTTGAACTGCACATCATATATTTTTAATCAAAGGAAGGTACCATGAACAGTCTTTGCAGCTGTTTATACATGGGTGCGTCAGTATTGTTTAGAAAAGTCCTGTCGTGAAGACAGAGTTACAATGAAGAAATACCAAAGAGTCGACAAAGTGTCATTCAACTATGTATATTCAGAAAATAAGTGTTTTACAAGGCGGCCATGAAAGCATACCGAGAACCATGTGTTTCTCGCGTGTGTTACACGAACCATATCACGTAAACAGAAACCGCTGACCGCAACTCGCTTAATTACAAATAACAATAAAATAGCGTAAGAAAATGTACTTAGAATGTTCACTTATTATAGTCTCTAAGTCTCTACGACAAGTCCTTTTGCACTGGCAATTCGGTCACGTCGGATTTCTTCTTCAGTCCTTTTTATCACGTGTAACCATGATTGCAGACGAGATATTAGCACGCGTGCTAGTATTCATCTAGCAGGTTTTTATTAAGGAAAAGGGAGACTATGGCAAGGTTTTTACGCCTGTCAACCCAGAGTGTTCCACTGGGGTTTCTTCGCGGCACAAAGGTTGACAACACTATAGTTGGGTAATGGCTATATCTGCCGTTGCTTATTCAAGCTTTGACGTTTCCATCATTGCCATATGTTCAACCAAGGAATGATTCTATGAGGTGTATTTGCAGCCGTTTACACATTAGATGCTACCTGTTTTGAACGAGTCTGTTTTTCAATTAAACACTCATTATTTGCGCCAAAAAGTCGGCACGAATTTACTTGCTCAAATTTTCTGTCGTCCTAAAAAAATCGGCTAAATCGGTCAAAATAGGAGAACCCGTAGGTAACTAGGTATACTTCGTTTTTGATAGATACCTCAGTGTTTCCTCTCGATGAATATTTTTCTTTGCTAAAGCTTCACCTTTGGATCCGTTGTCGGTGAAATAAGATAATTGAATGTAAAATTAAATATGAAAACTGTTATAACTGAAGCACCTTCATACATGGCAAACTTGATGCTAAAAGAAATTTCTTCTTGTTTTGAATACAAGTAATAGTTTTCATTAATTTTTCGCTTTGACAAGTGAATTATGAATCATCGCCCTTTTTTCCCAAAAAGGTGTAAGAGCTGGTAAGTTTAACAAGTACTTCTGAGCGGAGAGATGCCCTAAAAAAAAGGTAAAACACTAATTTACATAACACCTCCCGTTGAGTTTGTACTCGAACAACAACAACTGGTGAATCTTTAAATTGTGAGACCCGGAAGTGTTTCTTTCATGGGCTCTGTGATTGGTTGCTTCGGGTCACCTGATTATACTGGAAAACGGGAGACTGACTAGGAAACTTCTGGGCTACTTCAGTCTCCAGACTCGAATTGTACATTTATTTCCTGCCCTCACATTTATGTCTACTTCATAAAACTGTACATGTACCAGTGAATGAATATGTTGTGTTGTTTATATAGAAATTCACGCTATATAACTATGAAGATAAAATGTTTATCCTAAAGAACGAGGAATAATCTATATATGCAGCAAGTCCCAGGTCTATATATTTAGTGGCTCGTTTGGTTCGGCAGTGGATAACAAAGGAGCAAACGGGCCAAGCGAAAAATGGCCCTGTATTCCGTAGTTTAGCCATCCTAGGTGACAAAACTGTTGGTAATGTTGATCGTCGTGCTGCCCTCGAATGAACTAAGTATTTTTAATTTAAGAAGGTTTACCAGCATTATTTAAAAAGTAAACAACTGGTTTGTTTTCTTCAACGAGAAGACACTAGCAACAACAGAAATCTTTCAGAAGTTATACCCGCGTTGTTAACCCACAAAAGATAGAAGCATTTCGGTTTATTTTGATGTGGATAGAAAAAAAATCACATAAAGAAAGATTGATTGCATGTACATTATTAACAAACTTGGAGATTCTGAAGGTAAATCATCTGTATTACAGAATTGACTTATTGATCGTGGGACCGTTTTTTGTTGAGAACATCACGCCGCCCTCACTGAAGTTTCGTAGCAAGAAATCGCAGCAAAAGACAAGATAGTGTTCTGAGAAACCACACGACGGTCTTTAGATGGCAGAACTTGACTATTTTAATTGAAAACTGATTATCTTTCTTTCTTTTTTTCCCTTCTGGTTTCTTCTAAATTTAGATCGTTTTGTAATCCGTTCAATCTGAGGAAAACCATAGGACAATTTTGTTTTTCAATCAACAACAGGTCAAGTTAATCAAAGCATGGGATGTAAATGTGATGTTTATGTGAAAACAACCTTCACTACAGCGAAGGAACTTACAAATTGGCTGCTGAGAAGACAAGGAGACGTTATAACAGGAACATCTCATTCATGAAAGGGTCTAAGTGACTTAATCTACGAAAGAAGGTCATGGAATTTACAAAACTAACTTTCTGGTATGTAAAAGCCCGCCAGGATTCCATAAATTTGGCTAAATTATTATGAGTAGATGCTAACAGATATTATATCTGGTATCGCGTTTTTCATTTGATTGTCATAATACAACGTTTCATTGTTTGGGAAGCTTGTAGCCGACTGACTCATGACACCTAACTCGTGCTGTACTATGTAATAAATTTGGTGTCACTGAATAAACTTCAGCCAGTGAATTTCGCCGGAATCGAAATAAGTTGGCGAATCAGTGGCAGGTTGTATACTTCTAGCACTAGAGGTGGTCGAAAACACGAAGAATCCCTTATTTCCGCTCAAATTTTGAAAATGGCCTTATTTGCTGACACGCATGATGACTTTGAAAACGAAAAGAACAGATTCTGAAGCACACCTAACGTTTATGTGTTTATCTTGTTTAGTAACCACAGGAGGTGATGTTTGCATACCAATCTATCGTAAAGAGCCGAGTGACCGAACAACGATCATGTGCCAAATTCTGCCTCCGCAAGGCTCTCCGTGTATCTAGTGCTACATGCCTGAACGATTGCTTTAAATAATTAGAATAATATTCCTTGCACGGAAAAAGTGTACCTTCATGGTGTATCAGCGAAAAGTCAACGATGCCGAGAACCAATCGGATTCGTGGATTTGCAATATAATGGTTTTCAACTGAATGTCGTAAAACCAAAACCAAATTTATCAGGCCAGATAATCTCAATGGCCACAGACAATTCAGGTAACCAATCGAAAATCGAAATAATTACAGTGTAGCTCATGCGAATGGTAGAAGGTTCGTATACGAGCGAGTCACGATTGGTTTTGCTTTTTACTTCTGATTGGATGAAAAAGTGGCGCGAGTTTTTTAAGTCAATCGTGAAACTTAGTGATGCGAAATAATTACTTTACGACACTCAAATGAAAACTACTCTAGAACAAGGTGAATTTCTACTACTTTATTAACAAATAGTTTAGTCGAGTGCAAACTTTACCTTTCGAAAGTTAACATGTATGGTTACATGACGTACCGTTGAAGCACAATTCTGCTGCGGATTGTTTGTTTCAATAGAACGAAAATCACTTCTATCCAAACTATACGCATTGGGTTTGTATCCGTACTAAAACTGATTATCCTATTGATCAATCACAATGCGTGTTTGTAGCTTCCCAACCCTAACAACTGACCAAGTGTAGTGTGATCTCTACCATTATTCTGGTGTAGTTATAAAAACTAAATACTTAAAATACTAAATTTTGCGCAGTCTAAATACTTTCAAGTATTTAGACCGCGCAAAATATTATTAACCAAACGCCATATAGGATTGGGCTGTGCCCTGTGTTGGTTACTATATGCACACTCTACAGTGCCAACTTCCCATCATTTAAGTCAGTTCAAGACATTTTTCCCTGTTTTTTTTCCCTAGCCCTTTGTTTTTGCATTGCTTTGCAGGTTGCCTTACGTTTTGAGTATTTTCACATCGATTTGCCAGGCTACTATTAAAAAGCAGCCGCATTTGATTTTCATATTAGCCGATGATTTGGTGAGTAACTTCAAAGATAAGCAAGTCAGCATTTGCTCTATTCAAACATCCTATACAGGTAGATTACTGGCCTGTACCAGGCTCTCGGTCAGTGGGGACGAGCGGGGTCTGGGGTCCTCTCCTTTTCTCTATCAGAAACTACTCGTCGCCCGCCCGCTTTTTCGATCGTCCCCACTGACCGAGAGCCTGGAACAGGCTAGTAGATTACCATATCAAGTCTGACAAAGGCGAAAAAAATAACATGAAATTTACTTTCTGTCATATTTTTCATATCGCACGTATGTCTGGCTTGGCTTTTTGGAGGTATTTCCTAGAATCAGATCTCTCTCGCCTACCTTTGTCCTGTTTATATATGAATGGGTTAGCCATTAATAATTATATTATCGTTCACAGGGATGGGATGACGTTGGTTTTCATGGTTCCCGCCAAATCCCAACTCCCAATATCGACGCAATGGCTACTGAGGGCGTCATATTAAACAATTACTATGTGTCCCCGATGTGTACCCCGACTAGAGCGTCAATTATGTCCGGAAAACACCCGATTCACCTCGGTAGGTTTGAATATAACACCATACGTATGTGCTAAGTCTCTGCAGCTATGCTCCTCTAACTTGTCTTCAAAATAAGTAGAGAGAAACACAGCTCAAAGCTATAGTTGACTACAAGTAGAAACGTCCCAAACAAAACGAGGGCTAATAAGTCAGGACGGAGCAAGGATGGTTGGAAATTTTAAAATTGAAAGATAAAGACGGTGACAGATATATCGCTAATTGTCTTTCTGGTGGACATGAAAATGTTGGTAAATACTTTGAATAAGATAGCGTGCTGCATATAACTAGGATAATTTTATAACCCAATGTTTTTTTCTCTTTCCATCAGGTATCCAACATTTTGTGATCTTCGCCGCGCAGCCTTATGGACTACCACTTAAAGAAGTAACGATAGCACAGTATCTTAAAATTCTTGGCTACAAGACTCATGCAGTTGGAAAGGTATCAAGTCTAACGTCCAGGCAGTCTCTGCAGTCGTGCAGACGTGGTCACTAAGCCCCTATGTTTGCAATTGCTCAAAATCAAAATGATTGCAGCAGCAACCTAGTGAAAAGCCAAGGCTTTTGTTGTTGTTGTTTGGCTGTTAAAGGAAACAAATTTCAAAAAAACCAATTTATCGGGTCGTTACTGTATACATGTGACATGCAAGAGAAACGATCTGTGATGTGACAAAGTCAACAATGAACGCCAACTGTCTGGGCGTGAAGTCATTGAATTTCCCTTACACTAGCTTACACTAGATGCGCACTCGAATATGGTCTTTATTTACCTGACCAGATCATTTGCCTTGAGCTATCGATGTGTTGGCAAAAAAAAAAGAGGCGTAGACGAACAATCAGGTTGAAGATCATCTTTTTTTTCTATTTTTACAGTGGCATCTGGGATATTTCACAAAGGAGTACACCCCTTTATATCGAGGATTCGACTCTTTCTTTGGCTTCTTGGGTGCCAAAGAGGATTACTGGGATCACAGCTCGTTTGAGGATTACTGGGGCTATGACCTCCGAGACAACATGAGGGTTGGTAAAAATGACAACACTACTTCAGAACGGCTATAATCACGACCAAGAGCGGCTAGTCTCAAAGTTGTGAAACGTTCTCGGAAAAATAAAGTAGGCCATGTGAGAAAATTGATTAAACTTAGAGTGGGGTTTATAAGCTAAATTTACCGAGGCTCTACCGATCCCCAGAGAGCTCAGCTTTCATCCAATGAATGAGCCACACTGATTGGTCTAATGGTTGAACCTGCAATCGACCGGAAGAGAACTGGCTAAGCTCTTTAGACATAGATATAGCAATATTTGTCTTGGCCACTTTTGTCCAACGCGGAAAGGCGCAATGAGGTTAACCCTATGTCTAGCACCAAGCCGTGAGACAAAGCCAGACCATAACGCCAAGAGCTCTGGGAAAACAAACTTAAACCCAGCTGTATGGCAACGCAAATGTCTGTCGTCATTGTCATCTTCTGTTATGCGTTAAAATTCCTTTATTGCTTCTAGCCCATCAAAAGAACTGGAATTTATGCAACAGACCTTTTTACCCAGGAGGCCATAAAAAAGATCAACGCTCACGATGCTTCCCAACCAATGTTCTTGTACCTCGCCCACCAAGCCGTGCATTCAGCCAACAAGAATGATCCTCTTCAGGCACCAGAACAACTTATAAAGGTAACACCATAAACATAGTATCACTTTGTTAATGTTAAGGCATGAATGATCATCGCAGTTATGTACTTCAGGCTTTAACTTCTCATGTTTTGTACATAACTGCGATGATCATTCACGATGCTTTTTCATCTTTCTGAGCAGTTCAAATTAAGATAAAGATCTTACATATACTCACATAATTTATATATTCGCTTTAGCGTCAATATGACATGCTGCTTCTGTTTTGAAATAGGATCTAGGTGAACAGTTTTTATATGACTATTTATATGTTCATTCCTGGAACGAGCGAGATCCTGGTAAATTTGTACGGAGAAAAACACCTTCTGTAGTCACGTGAGTCAGGATCTTATGATACAGGTTGTTCTTGTTGCCGTTGTTGTTGATTTTAACCAATCACTGGAGCAAAACCAAAACTAGTCGTGCCTCAGCTTACGTTTTCCCTCACTTTTGTTATCACAATTCTGCCAGAGTCGTTAATTACCTCATGGTGTTGTCCAAATGTGAAGGCTCTGTCTTCGGTTTTACAACGGTACTACCAAACCAATCTATGAAATTCGTCCTCCTTTTCAAGAAATTTAGTTTCATCAAAGACGAAAGAAGACAAAAATACGCTGCCATGGTGACGTCATTAGATGAATCTGTCGGTGCTGTGAGGCAGGCTCTTGCAGATAAAGGAATGTTGCAAGATTCCGTCATCATCTTCACCACAGACAACGGGGGAGCTCCTTATGGATTCAATTGGTAACTATAGCAACCGATCTCCTTCTCGGAACTTTCCGTTTGTTAAATTGTAAGATGTTGTAGTCAACCAGGGTACTTGAGTTTCTCAGTAACCATTGTTGCTGCCCTTCGGCAAAGTTTAACTCCCTTTGTCCTTGATTAGGAACGCTGGCTCAAACTTCCCTTTCCGCGCGGGCAAAGACACCCTATGGGAAGGTGGAGTGAAAGGTGTTGGTTTCGTCTACACCGCAAACGATCTCATCAAGCACAAGAAACGTGTGTGCATGGGACTGATAGACGCTACAGACTGGGCTGCGACGCTGTACCATTTGGGAGGAGGTGACGCGGAGCTAATATCAGCTAGAACCGACGGAAAGAATGTCTGGGAGACGATATCGTACGACGCACCATCACCCCGGGATGAAGTATTGCATAATATAGACCCCAGGTACGTGCAAATAATTCCGTTATCAGTGCTTGTGGGCGGACAGAGAGTGCATGCAAATTTTGCGCGGGTCCACATCAGCTTTTTAATTCCACTACTTATTTAAATAGGTTATGGGCTTAATTTATTCCCGAGTCTCACAAATTAATGAGCTAAAATTTTCCCTTGACTTTTCCAAATGAACTAATAACCAAGAATTTTTTCCTCCGACTGACCAATCAACTTTTAAGCTGAAAATAAAATAGATCTGTACGTAATTGACAAATTATCAGACCTCTAGTAATTGACAAATCATGAGTGCTTTTAATCATATTTTTTACCTTCTTTTCTTTCTAGGCGAAACTTTGAAGCCATCCGTAAAGGGAACTTTAAGCTTGTGGTTGGAATGGATGACACATATCAGCTTGGATGGCACGCGAGGTACGCAACAAAATTGCCCCCTCCCTGGTCTGAAACCCCAACTCTCCCTGGAGCAGAAATTAAATGCGGTCCCTGGACGAACGGCGTAGGCATGTGCGACTCAAAGGATCACCACGCTTGCTTGTTTAACCTGGCTGATGGTAATTTGTAGATATACTGCAGTGTTATAACTACTTCTGCCTTGATTGCTCTTGGTAAATGTCATAACATCCTGATCTTTTCTTGTTTTAAGATCCGTGTGAATACAAAGATGTTTCACACCTTCACCCACACGTGGTTGAGGAGCTGAAAGAGAGACTTAACTATTACCGCAGCACAGCTTTACCAGTTGTTTATCCGATGATTGACCAAGAAGCAGATCCCAAACACTTCAATAGCTTCTGGGGTCCGTGGAAGACACTTACAGACAAGTCGGAATACTTTTCTGCCAAGAGCGCTTGTAACCACGTGCAAGCAGAACAGGTTCATCGGGGATTACATCTCATGCATTATTCCAATCAAACTCTATGATTTCACGCAGTTTAAAATTGAGATTCTCACTGCACGGAAAATAGTTATATACATTAATTATATAGAGGAGTATGTAATAAGTCGAGGCAAAAGCATTGGAACACGAAGATTTATAATGACCTTTTCGTGGTGACTCGGGTGACACAGTCGACAAGTAGAAATACCAGCTAAACTAAGATATTTCTATAGCATTCTGAATCATGGAATGCTTAGCCATTTAAACCACATCATCTGTGAGAAGGCTTCACTGCAGGCCAGGGGTGGCAAAGCAAAATTTTACATTAGAAAGGAGCTGAAAAACTCCACAGTTGTAAGAAGAGAGTGAATGCTGAAAAGATGGTCGAAGATGGTCTTTACACATACACTGACCTATCCATCAGTTATATCTAACGCACGTGGAAGAGGTTAAAGCCCCCCAGCTTCCCCCTTGGTCCCCTTGCCCTGCGGCACTCTGTGAGTCACTCAGGGGCCATAATCGGGGACGGAGACCCAGATTCTGACTCCTGGTCAGCCGATATCATGTTACGCGCGGTCTTCGAGCTAGAATGGAATTCGTAAAAAAGACGACAGAAGCCTTTCAACGCTGCTTAAAAGTTAGTTATAATTAAGGGCTTCGGACCGTCGGCAAGGCTGAAATGCATTCTTAAGAGCAGCTTCGCCTAAATATCAACTAGACTTGGAAATAGCGAAAAAATCGAATTTCTTCAAACTCGCCCAGAATGAAGCCCTACGGGCAC